TTCAGGAATATGGCCGTCATTGCTATGAGGATGAAGGTGTGTATATATTTTTCAGGTACATCTGCAGGTGTTTCATTGAACATACGCCGTTTCAGCACACACAAAAAAGATCCACCATCCTTTTCTTCTTTCAGTTGTCATACAAAATTGCTTCATTGTTGATTATGTGCTATGTCATATCGTCTGAAAACAATGTCTCTTTCAAGATTTCAACATGCCAATATGGTGTGGTCGATGCCAAACTAGTGCTCTGTTTGTGCTTTTTTTAGATCCTTTGTAACGCACGGATACTTTGCTAGTACGTACATACATACATACTACCTCCGTCCGGTTTTATTAGGGCACCTCTCATTTTGGGCTAAAATTTGATCAATAAATTTAACAAATAAAATGTAAACTATATGCTACAAAAATTATACCTTCGAAAAGCTCTTTCAAATACAAATCCAACAACGTACTATTTATAGCATATATTTTATATCTTATTAGTCATATATATCTTATTAATCATATAAATGGTCAAAGTATGGCTCAAAATACTAGAGGGCCTAGTAGACCCGGATGGAGGTAGTACATACATACAGACATATATACATACTCCCTCCGATTTCTTTTTAGCCCGCATATAAGATTTGATCAAAGTTAAAAGTTTGACCAACTTTATAGAGAAAAAATATCAACATCTAAAATACTAAAACTATATGGTATGTAAATTAATTTCATGAGGCATCTAACAATACTGATTTCATATTGTGAATCTTGATATTTTCTTACTATAAACTTAGTCAAAGTAAACAAAAGTTGACTTTGACCAAATCTTATATACAGACTAAAAAGAAACGGAGGAAGTACATACATACATACGTACATACATAGTACATACTGACGGGCATACGCGGCGTGTGAAAATATCTATTTGCACACCTTTAAAATTAAAATTTGGGTAAAAAAAAGAAAAGAGCAGGGAAAGAGTCATGGCCAAGAAAAGAGAGAGGAGGGGAGCGGAAGCCGGGAAGACTGAGCGGAGGAGCGATTGGTAGCTAATTTGGGCGCGTGAAGCTCTCCTGGCCTCTCACCGTCGTCCACCCCCGGCCGTACGTACGTGGTGCAGCCAGCATGTGTGTATATATATAAAGCCCACCTCCTTCATCCTCACAAGGCAATACAATCTCTCCTCTCCTCTCCTCCTGCCAGCTTACAAGGCAACCAACGCAGCGCGCGCAATGGCGGCGGTGCAGCAGTACACGGTGGCGCTCTTCCTCGCCGTTGCCCTCGTGGCGGGGCCGGCCGTCTCCTACGCCGCCTACGCCCCCGGCGCCCCGGCCACCCCCGCCGCCCCAGGGACCCAGCCCAAGGCGACGACTCCGGAGCAGAAGCTGATGGAGGATATCAACAACGGCTTCAAGGCGGCTGTGGCGGCCGCAGCCGCCGTCCCTGCGGCCGACAAGTACAAGGCGTTCCAGACCACCTTCATCGCGTCCTCTAACAAGGCTTTCGCGGATGCCCTCAAGGCCGCCGCCTCCGGCCAGACCCCTGCCAAGTCAGACTCCATGTCCAGACTCTCCACCAGCCTCGAATCCTCCTTCAAGCTCGCCTACGACTTCGCCGAGGGCGCCACCCCCGAGACCAAGTACGACACCTACGTCGCCAGTCTCACCGAGTCGCTCCGCGTCATCTCCGGCGCCTTCGAGGTCCACGCCGTCAAGCCCGCCGAAGAGGAGGTCAAGGGGGTCCCCGCCCCCCAGCTCAAGACCATCGACCAGATCGACGCCGCCTACAGGACCGCCGCCACCGCCGCCAACGCTGTCTCGGCCGACAAAAAGTTCACCATCTTCGAGTCCTTCTTCAACAGGGCCATTAAGGAGAATACGGGCGGCAAATACGACAACTACAAGTTCGTCCCCGCCCTTGAGTCCGCCGTCAAGCAGGCCTACGCCGCCACCGTCGCCTCCGCGCCCGAGGTAAAGTACGCCGTCTTTCAGGCCGCCCTGAGCAAGGCCATCAGTGCCATGGTTGAAGCCGAGAAGGATGCCAAGCCCGCCGGCGCCGGCGCCGGCGCTACTGCCGGTGGCTACAAAGCCTGAGCTCGCCAACAATACACATCCATCATGCACACTTACTATGCTGTGTATGTATGTATGTACGTGCGTCGCCTTGGCGGCCAGGGACTTTCCTGATGCTTCCTTGGTTTTCGTTTCATGCAGCCGCGACCGACCGTGTGTGCATGTGCCTGTAATAATAACAGAATGTTTGTAATCTTTTTCTATTCTATGAATTTGTAATCCCCATGACAAGTGGGATCAAATCGGCATATTGTATTGTATATCTATCTATCGTTGGATCGAGTTTCTCTTGATTAACACATGGAAATAAAGATTGCCTTTTACTCCCTCCGTCCCAAAATAAATGTCTTGAGGTTAGTATAAATTTATACTAGAGCTAGTACAAAATTAAGACACTTATTTTAAGATAAAGGGAGTATATCAGTATTTTTTTTGGAAGATTCTTTTTATATCAGTATCACATTGCAGTACATTTTAGTTTTCTATGGAGTTTCTTATTGTTCTCTCACACATGCATTTCTCTACCACCTGCAAGGGTGTGATTGTTCTCTAAACTAGACAATTTCCGGTGCATTGCTGTGGGAATTGTTGGCAATATGTTTAGATGAGACTTGATCGTGTGGAACATAAATACTCCGGTTAACAAAATGTGCACGAAAATAGAAATATATGAGATTTATTGTAGTTGATTAGTTTCTTGTTGGAAAATAGTTTTGAAACATAAGTAGCATAATGTGAGTTTAAAATTCCTTTTAGTTGCCCACGACGGGGTCTTCTTCATTGAGGAAAATTTGTACATGTGTGGTTCCTTTCTTTATGTACTTGAAGATGTATTTGGTGTACCAGAATGGATGTTCCTCGGGTGGTTTTCTCGTGTTGTCTTTACATGCGACGTTGTCTTTCAGATTTCGTAGCATTCTTCATGTCTACAATAGCCTCGTACTTCTCATGCGTTTTTTCGGGTAAGGTTGCATCCTCTAGAAAATAGGTGTGCATGTTGTGAATATTAGGTGAACAACTTTGCATATATGTAATAGACATACCTTGTGCCTTCGTGTTGCTTGTCCATGTATTTGGCAGTAGTTGTAGTGTTAGGTTGTTGAATGATATTATATAGGTGGAATACAATTGTTACAATGTCCAACCAAAAGATGTTGTATTAGGAATCTTTAATACACGATTAACTGAACAATGAATGTATAGACACCGCTATGTGTGTCACAGCCCTAGCTTAGTCTTTGCCTGTCATTGATTAAATTCAAATGAATTTGAAATGGGGATCCAACAAACCCTAGCACCCCTGTGAAATACTAGGATCAATTGAAAATATTTCGATGAACCCAAAATGCCCTTCAGAAAAGTCCATGATTTTTGTTAAAGGTGAAAACCTCTGCCAAAAATCATGCGCCCATTTTTGGGACAATTTTGGATTTATGGTTTAACTCATAATGTATTTGAATTTGGGCATTTAATTACTATAATTATTTGGAATGCTCAAATAATTTTGAAACTAAATGTGGGCTGTTAGAAATAATTCAAAATGTGCCCACAGTTTATTTCAAGATTTTATAAAAGGGTTTAGTATTTTTGCTAAATAAAAAAACAGAAAAACAAATCAGAAAACAGAAATAAATGGAAGAG